GTCATTACTGTGAGACAACACAATTAAAATTCAGTTTTGTCAGTGCATTCAGTGGAGTGAATCGCATATTTTGCATTGAGCAAATGATGAAGGGTTGTATACTAAATTGTTAATACTGAGAATACTTTTGAAGTGATCAGCTATCCTCTTTTAAATGAGACATCATTACTCAATTCTGTTGTCTTTACTTGGTCAAAATTTCTGCTGCTTTAAGGGCCCTTTGAGAATTCTTAAATGCCTGACTGGTTCCATAAGGACTTAATTAAAAAGGAATTGTCTTTTCATTAAGTAAAATGATATCTTTGAGTATGATTTCTTTATTAACTAAAATGTCTTTAAGTTTGAAAAATGCCCTGCTTGAAGTGCAGGAGCAAAGGCTGATCTGTCAAGAGAATCTCCTATTTCAGATGCTTGATAGCTATATTTTTCTTCACCGAAAACAAGTCCTAATCTTTCTAACTGAAGGGTAAATAATGCTATTAAATCCATGCCTGCGTGGACCACATATTTGAGTGTACTGCTTGAATCTGCATGGAATATATTTCTTTTACCCTTCTAATTAAAAGTTTTTGCGGAAGCAAGAGATGTGGATTTCCTTTGATGAAGACTCTAACAGTAAGTGATGTTCTTCTGCAAAGACCCCTCAGTGTCCTTGTATCCAGCCCTGTGAATTAAAAAAAAAAAGCTTGCTTTTTAATAGCCCTACTAAAAGGCTGCTTTCATGCCTATGAAATCCCAGTTGATCTTCAGGTGTGAACGACTTGATCCCCGCTGGCAAGGGCTGCCTTTCTACATTATTTTAACTGTTCAGAGCGCTGGAAATAGAATGAAATCCAAGAAAACGATTGCAAGGAGCTTCAGTACTGCCTTTTGTCTCAGAAGTTCCTGCAGTATCTGTAGTTCCTGAGTCAATCATCTTTCTGCTCCGCTGGCCACAGAAAGCACCATCTGTAGCAGCAGATAAAACCCAGCTGCTCGCTTTTCTGCCCAGCTAATTAAAAAGTGCCATGACCTCTCCAGTGCTAATTGCATCCTATTAGTGGGATTGAGGAAAGGAGTCCAGCAGGGTTGCCTGATATTTCAGCTCCCAGCTTCCCGACATCATTTTAAATGATTTCATTTTATTATGACTGTGATTCCAGAACTGAGATGGCTGCAGAGCGTATGTCTCACACTCGTTTTCTGATCTGCAGGTGAGCGATGTGACAGCAAAGTGCTGATAGCACATGCATTTCCTACAGAACCTCCCTTTCTGCCAGAACCAACATGCAGAGCAACTACTCCATGCTCATCACCACCAGGGAAACTCTCCAGATCTTCTATACAGCGCAGGCAAACTCATCGGCTGCGTTGCACTCACCGCCTCCCTGCCCACTGACCTCTTCCAATTACCAGTTTTCATTAATTCCAGCATTCTTCTCTGTGGTTTTTGCTCTGGGTTTGGTTGGCAATAGCGTGGTGGTTGTGGTGCTCTGTCATCACAGCAGCCCCAAAACAGTTGCTAATATCTACATTTTTAACTTGGCTATGGCGGATCTGCTGTGTCTCGCCACCCTTCCCTTCTGGGCTGCCTATTATGCGCAGGGGTACAACTGGATCTTTGGATCTCTCATGTGCAAAATCTCCAGTTCTGTCCTCTGTCTGAACATGTTTGCAAGCATATTTTTCATTACGTGCATGAGCGTGGACCGGTACCATGCGATTGTCCATCCTATTCGCTCCCAAAGAAGGACTCCACATCAGGCGTATTTTATCGCTTTGGTTGTGTGGAGCCTTGCCTGTTTGTCCTCCCTCCCAACTTTTTATTTCCGTGACACACACTACATTAAAAGCATGGAGGTGAAAGCATGCATTATGGCATTTCCTCATGAGAGTTACGCAGAGTGGTCTGTGGGAACAGCCTTCCTGAAAAATGCACTCGGCTTCTTCATCCCCTTGACGGTGATCACCACGTGCTACGTCTGCATCAGGAGGCACTTGATAAAAGCACAGGAGTTTGGCAAAAACAAGCAGAAGAGGGACAGAGTCCTAAAGCTGGTGGCTGCTGTTGTTGTGGCCTTCTTAATTTGCTGGCTCCCATTCCACATTTTGACGTTTTTGGATGCCCTGGCTCATATGAACGTCATTGACAACTGTGATGTGACAGGAATCATCGACACAGCACTGCCATTTGGCATCTGCATGGCTTTTGCCAACAGCTGCATCAACCCTTTGGTGTACTGCTTCATTGGGAACCAGTTCCAGGAGAAGCTCCATCGCTTGTTTAAGCGGCGAGTTTACCAGTTCAACAGCCAACGAGAGAGCTCTTCTTTGAGGAAAGGGAGCTGCCTCCGAGACACTGAGACAGCAGTGGGCAGGGAGAGGGAGCCCAAGTCCTTGCTGTAGGCATTGTGACATGGGGCTGTGTCAGTACAGCTTCTGCTGTACTCCTCCCTCCTGTTCCTTTCATTTTGTGATCATTCAGTCAGCACCTATTTGAAGGAGAGTCTTTATCTCATCCACGAGGATCTGTTCTTCCTTCTTTTCCACAATGAGCACTCAAGTTTTACGGAGAGGGAAGATTCTGGCTAGGAACTCAATTGATGGCATTTTAAGTACCAGCTTATACGTGACTGAGATCAAGCAAGTGCCTTAATGTAACACAGAATAAATACCAAAGGAACCTGGCACTGTAGCTACAACTGCATAGATATTGAGCATCACATCCTGGCTAAACTGATTTTCTAAAAGAGATTCTCAGTTGAGAATGTGTAAATAAAGCAGTGATGATCCTTTTGTACCTGTATATAGGAAAATACTAGACTTTTATTATATACATATGTATAGTTTTGAAAGTGTGTTGTTAATGTACTGCTCCTGCCCAGTATCTTGAGAGCACATGGAGACGTGGATCTACAAATTGTGCCAGAGGCAGGAGAGCATTCTTAGGGGAAAGTACTACCACATGCATGTTTTTATGACTTTCTCATAGCAGGTTGCAGGTTTACAAGACAGACGGTCCTTAGTTCTGCTCCACTGTGATTGTTTCTGATGGTAACAGGCTGGGAACTGAGCAAGCCAAGTCCCAGTGCTACGTGCTTAAGTCCCACACACTGCCCAGCAGATTCAGGGAAAGGACTTTCTGATTGGACTTTTGCATTTCAAATGTCACTACTGTAATTTTTAGGTACTGTAAGCAAAAAGACTGTGATTCTGTCTTGATACCCATAAACAAAACCATGGTGGGACTTCCAAGTCTTACCCTCACCTCATTGCATGCATTTGTAAATAAGAGAAAGGGGAAAAAAGAAAGTATTTGGCAAAGAGGGATTTTATTTTGAGGTCATGTTAGGTTATTTAAAATTTGCTTTTGTAAGATACTGATCCTAAGCACCATCTAGATTTTTTTGAAAGGATCATGTTTGATAGGCTCATTATAAAAGAGGGACCTGATAGCACCGTGTTCACCTTCCAGCAGGCTGTTCCCAGACTGAATGACCCAGAGTGACCAAAAGATTGCTGGCTTCAGGGAAATCTATCCAGCAAGTTACTTTTGAAGCTTATTTAAGCACTTCTGGGTCCATAGGTCAGAAATTAAATGTGCTGGCAGGGTAACCAAGATTCTGGCCTCTCTGAAATCCCAAAGCTGGTTGCTGCCTGCAAGCCATGGGAACGTGATGCAAGAGCCATCCATCGCTGTTAGGGTGAGGGTCAGTTTCTTCACTGGTGTCCACGAAAATGGGATTTTGTGAGGAAATCTGCCAGCCTCAAAGTGATGTGAGATGAGGAGGCTGTGTGGAACTGGGCAGAATGAACAACTCCTTCCTGGTGGTTCCTGCCCCGGTGTGGCGTTCTGGTGATGGGGGGGGATGTGGTTGGAGAGGTGCTCGTTCCAGAAAGTGGAAGAGGCGCCGCTGAGTTTCCCCTGGAATGTTTGTGTTGAAAATGTTCCGACGAGTTAATAGCGTCTGGGGCGTCGGATATTTCTGGAAGGACAAACTGTTAATTGCTTAGCAGTGAGCAAAACAACGCAGTGGTGTTACAGCAAAACAAATAATTACATAAAGAAAATTAGCAGGTGTTCAAAGTGTCCGGCTCAGAGAAGTAATAAGAGGTTATTGGAGCCTTTTTCACCTTTGCTGCTTTACAGGTCAGTAATGAGCACAGCTGTGCCACTGATTGGTAATCTCTGTAGTCACAAAACAAAACAAACTACAGGAGTTGACCCCAATGCTGCCCATCTGCTACCACGCTAAGACACGGGTTTAGTGCGTCAGTTTGGACCTGCTCAAAAAGAACGGCTTTTAACAAGGCTCGTGCCTTCTGCCTTTGATGCACAAACCTTCACAGGTAGGAAAATATGAGAGGAATCTGAAGTCTGGCTGCGGCAGCATTGATGCCTGCGAGGGGCTGGGAAAGCTTTCCGGATGAGAGAGCAGCAAAGCAGAATCTCCCGTTGCTGCAGCCAGAGGGCAGAGATTAGCGAGCGCTTCCTGGTGCTGAGGCGGTGCGTTCATTGCTATCTGCTCGGGAAAAGCAATGGAAACAAGCAAAGTTAGGTGGGAGGCAAGGCTGAGAGGGGAGGAAAATCGCTACTTTCAAAAAAAGCCTACCCAGAAGGTCACCTTCTGCAGGAATGACAGAGCAAGAGACCCTGCTAGCTTGGTGGTGACGTTTCTTGCCAGATATTCTGTGTATCTCAAATAGGTTGTGAGTTTGAGCACCTGGGTAAAACAAACAGCCCGAAAAGTCTGTCTGCAGAGGAACCTGAGCTGGGAGCCAGGGAGGTGCTGTGTCAGAGTACTGCTTTATTTTTAAAGCAAACTGGATATGGGTGAGATCTGTGACTTTCTTACGCTTCAGTTTCTCATGGGATTTTTCAGGCTTTTTAAAATGGAAAATGTGATTTTCCATAGCTTCAGTGTTTTTTTTTTTTTTTTTTTTTTTTTTTTTTTAATTTTCTGACAAAGAATAGACAAAAATGTAAGGTTTTTTTTTTTTGTTTGTTTGTTTTTGTTTTTTTTTTTTTCTTGCAAATTTGGAGGCTGTTGTTTTCCTTTTAAGTGAACAGTTCCCTGATATTTGCAAATAATTCCAAGTTGTGCGATGCTACAACTTTTCACTGTCAAAACCCAAATTCCCTCACATGCCCCAGTCCTTTACAAGTCTTGTGTTCCCTAGGGATTGCCAGAAAACAGCCAGGCAGCCCAAGGAGCTCTGTGGAAGCTGGGGATCCCCACTGATGGTGCTTTGCTGCCCTGGAGTGATGCACACAATTTTTACCAGGGAAATGCAAGAGTGTGTCTGGTTGCTCATTGTCTTACTTGCTCTGTGAGTGCAGTGAGATGAATTTCTGAGCAACAGTTGGAGTTCAGAGGGCTGTGCCTGCTCCGTGTATCAGTGGTGAAGAAAGCTGCAAAGGGGTGAATGATGCTCTTCCAGATGGAAAAGTTAATGGGTTTGGAGTCAAAGCTGAGTGGCAGCAGGGCTTGTTTGGATATGGGAATGTTCTGGAACAATTCTGGGCCTGTTAGTGTGTTCTTCCCCAGAGATGGCTGGAAGGGATGGGTTTTCCTCAGGTTCATTTGGTCTCTGTCATCGTTGTACATATAATCCTATTTGCAGCTTCCTTTTCTGGCCGTATTTGATTACCGTTAGCTTAAATGAATTGTGAAGAGCCTTGATCCAAACTGAGCATCCTGTGCACATCTCTTAGTTGACTTTAATATGCAACTTCAAAACATGAAGCAAGGAAAACCACTGGCATTTATTAGCACAAGCCAGTGCCGAGTGGTGAGCTAAATGTCTTGTTTATACAAGATATACAATAAGAAATGTTTGGTACAGTGTGTTCTCCCTGAGAAGTCAATGCAGCTTGAGCATGCCCTGGAACACACTCAGCACATTTGTTCTGTTCCTCAGGCCGGATTATGGGCAGAAATATCATCTTGCTGCCCCACGGCCAACTGCCACAGCTTGGCTGCTGTCTGTGATGGGTCCCTTTCTCCTGCCTGTAGGGCACAGAGTACCAAGGGGCGAGCAAATTGCTGTGCTTCCCCATGAAAATGAAGGCTTTTGGATATCTTCTGGGAGCTGTTTTGGCAGGAACACAGGAAAGATGCAACGTGGAGATGAGGTGGTCTGGCAGCCTTCTCTTGATGCTGGCAGGCTCACTGCTTGCTTTTTGACTCTGCTTCTCTCAGAGAAAAATGAGTGCTCTTGTTGTGATGGACTGTGCAGCCTGTCCTGGGGTGTGCTCTCCTCATGTCTCTTGTGGTTTTGCCTTACCTGTATGGTGCCTGTATGTGGAAGGAGCCCAGGGCTGCTCTGTTTAGCATCACAAACCCTTTGCCCCAGATACAGTGGTTGACAGATTGCAGTGTTTACTGAGGTGCCTAACAGAAGCAATGCTCCCCCGTATTTCTCAAGAAATAAGATGAAAGAAGCAAATAAATTCAAAAGAAGCAAGAGTCAAAACAGGGATTTGCTTATTGGGAAAGTGCAGGTTTAGTGAGAGGAGGTTCAAGTGATGCCTAATCCTGTGAGATACCCAGCCAGCAGCCGTAAGCTTGGGTGCATTTCCCTCACCTAACCAGGTGCTTGCAGATCTTCTCCCACACTATCATTTCCACAGCTGTGCTCTGCACCACTCTGCATCATTGAAGTGCCCTCACAGGAAGCAGGGCTGGGTTTTGGTGGTCTCATGTGCAGAAGGAGGTGCAAGTGTGGCTGGAGACAGCAAGGACAGGAGCTGGGAGCTGTACCTCTTCTACAGGGGGAGCCCAGAAGCACCTCCCCGCAGTACTTGTGTCCTCTGTAACCCACGGGATTTCCATCCACTCACTCACTCACTCACTCACCCATCCATCCATCCATCCATCCATCCATCCATCCATCCATCCATCCATCCATCCATCCATCCCTCTCCATGCCCAGGCTGTAATCCTGCCAGCTTCAAGTGTCAGCCCTTACGTCTGTAGACGGTGGTGTAACTTCCCTCAGCTTCCAAAAACAGACTTTTTTTGCTTTGCTGCCTGTCTGCCCCTGGCAGTAAGCCACTTACATGGGTGATATAACTGCAGTCCTTGCTGAAATGTTCCTGGGCCCTGGTCTGGAAAGGGAGTGAGCCAGCCCTGCTTGCTGCCTCGCTCAAATGTTTGCTTTCCATTTCCTCTGCAGCTGAGAGAGAATCTGAATTTGATACTATAAGCTCCAGACAGAACACTTTTAATCCCAAAAACATTTCACAGGGATAAACCAGAATGATACAGAAGAGGATGTGGGTCGTAACACTGATTTTCCTGCTGTGAGATAGATCTGAACCTACACCTTCACCCCTCTGACAGCCAATAGCTCTTCTGTTTGAACAAACATAGGTATGCAAAGCTCCACTGTATCCCCTAAAGACAAGATCCAGTGTGAGTTTTAGGTTCCAGAATGCTTGAGTTGAAATGTTGTATTGTTTTTGCAGCAAATAAGAAAGTCAGTTACAATATCCAACTCAATGTGCTGCAGTGGTGCAAATGTGACATATCCCATGCCATGCCCTCCCCCTAACCCCTGTGCTTTGCCAGCAGATGCATGCAGTCAGCTGGCAGCTCAGGTTGGATGTGGAGAGCCACTGGCCACAGCCATCCCTGCCCCACAGTGCCCTGCTTGGCATGGTGCAGTGCCATACACAACACACAGCAGCCTTCAAAAATGACAGAAAACCATCTGCATTAAGCATTAGGACAGTGTCCAAACATGAAGTCCTTTCGCAATGGCAGGAAAGTGAAAATAACGAATACAAACAGCACAAGGCATGCAGCTGTGTCATGACAGTAGGAAAAATGGAGTAGCTACCACTATCTCTTGAGAAAGCAAAGTGCTTCATACGTTGCACGAAAGCAGCTTAAACTCTGTTTCATCTCAAATCTTTGGTGAGGTGACGATTATATAGCATGTTACTGTTCAGGGTCTTGCAGAACATGGTAGGTGTTCTCTGCAGGTGCTAAGCAGCATTACTCTGCACTCCTTCAACTGCTATGGTAAGTAACATTAGGAATTTTACACGTTAGGAAATAGGTCTCATGACCCTCATGCTACTAACAGCTGACCTTGCAAACCCCTTCACTGAGTGCAAGAGATTCCTTCCAAAGTAAGGACAGCAGAATTTGGTTATCTACACAAATCCCTACTGTGGTGAACACGGGGATTTTAGAGCATCTTGGATCCCTTTGTAAATAGTGTGCTAGATGTCCTTGTTTTACTGCGCCAGTAATCTTCCTTTAGATGAGTATGTTGTGTACAATTTGTTCAAGCTTCTGTGGAAGAGGAATCCACCATGCGCTATTCAGTATGAAGTAAATGTGTTTGACAAAAGTCTAGATGGAAATGTACTTCCAGACCCAGATATAATTCATGATATAATCAACGTATCAAATAAGAGAAAGATTGTTTTTTCTTTCAAATGTGTGGTAACAGATTGTTGTCTGGCAAAGAAATTATACAACCTAAGGGAGCTGTTTTCAAGGACAAGTCTGGAAAAAAGATTGGAGAGCATGATACTAAATGTACTATATTAACTGGGGAAGTCCCATGGACATCACTGGCTCTCAGCCCAGGATTTGGCAGTGATTTCATTTTGATCCTCTTCCCCTAAAGGACTGCAAAGAGATCTTTCCTTCATCCCGGAAATGAAATTACCCAGAAAAGTCAGGAATGTTTATTCCTTCAGCTCAAAGTCCAGATTGGATCTGAACTGCAATAAGACTACCTGATGCAGGGGCTCTTCTGCTGAGGTTTACTTTGCAGGTGAATCTCTCCAGGAGTTGAGGTACTGGAAAGATAGGAATGTTCTAAATGTTGGGCTTGTCTATAGCTGCAAGAGTATCCAGAGCAAACTTCATGCTGAAGGCAGGAGCAGATTTTATCCGTGCCCAAGCTGGTTGGTAGCTCACATTGTTACTGACTGCTAACGCAACGTTTGGGTTAAGCAAGACTCTCCTCAGGCAATACCATCAAAAATAAATAAATAAATAAAAGATTTCTGCCATTTGAAAAGAAGTCAGAGGTTCATGTGGAACGAACAGGGCGGATTCAGCACGAGGGCAGGTTGAATGCCTCTGAATAATTGCTGGGGAATGTATGCGGGTTTTCCTTGGGTCGCAGAGCAGGCGACAGCGCTGAGAACATGTTCTGGTGTGCTGGGACACAGAGAGCACGTGGCCTGCCGAGCCACACTGATGCAGTTGGAGGCACATGAAGAATGGTTGTTCCCAGAGCTCCCCCCTGCCGCGGATCCTGCCATAAATCTTTGTTGTGTTGGTGTTGCTACCCGTGCTTGTCTCACAATCATTGCCATAGCCGTGACTTGCAGGGATGTGTGTTTGAGCAGCTTAAAAGGTAACAGCAAATCCGGCCACTTCTAACGCTGTGTTTGAACAGCTCATAAAGATGTGGTGCAGTGCTGACAGCATCTGCAGGTGCTTTTCTCTCTCAAGCAAACAAGTTCAACTCATTTCTACTGACAGAGGAAGCTGCTGCTCAGCCACGCCGTGGCAAAGCATGCTTTATTTCCTCACGTAATCTCACATCACAGCACATACTGCTCTGAAGACTGAACGTGCTTGCAGGCATTTGTTTAGCACAAAGTTCATTCTGCAAAAGCACGGTGCTTTTGCAAGAAAGCGATTGTACTTTCAAGTGGTTGGGAAATACTGAAGGGCAAATTAAGAACCCTTGCCCCGAAGCCATTTTGCCAGATTGCTCTCTTGCTGTAGGCAATGCCTTATTTCCTCATTAGCCTCTTCAAGAAAGCTGAATGCTCCCATAAAACTATTATGTGCTGGTCTCTGTTAGAAGCTTCAATCCTATTAGGATTTTACTATCCAGGTGAGTCTCTTAAACGCTCCATGATTTAGCACTGTTCTCTGTTTTTTCAGTGGGCAGAAAAAGGATGTGATTGTAGTGCAGGATCTTGGTTCAGAGAGGGAGATGAGGCTCTGGTGGTGCTTTTGGAAATTCCTTGTGAAAGCCTAAGCAGGGTAAAGAAGAGCAGCAATTCTATCTTCAGATCCTTTCTGTATGTTCTTATATCTGAGTTGGATGAAGAGATATTCTTTTGTGTATTTCAGGGGTAAGATACTACATGTATCTCCCAGGAGGTTGCTGTGTGGATGAGGCATTGTTCAAAGCTTAGGCTGTTAGCCAGGATACTCTGTTCTGTACTCTGATTTACAGTGAATGCATTCCAGTTGGGAAACAATGGGCTATTTTACAATAATGATCTTAAATCTTAGCTGAACAAAGTTCCATCAGTTTTCTTTCTTTCTCCTTAAGTCTCTAGGTCACATAAAGACATATCAGACCTTCTCCAAAAGAAGAAAGAAGCCACCTGTTGCTTAATTACTGCAGTGGAAAACCATTTTCTTGAAAAGTATGAACTAACAACAGTACACCAATAATATTAATTATTTTTATTAAAAGGAGAGAGTTGGGCATGGAAATTCAGATTGCAGCTGGCTGTGCTTTGAAGCATTCAGCATCTCTATTTCAGGTGTGGATCAACTGCTCTTCATTTTGTCTGTTTTGGCAGTGTTTAAGTTACTGACAGCTTGCTGTGGCACTCAGAGGAAAACCAGTTCTGCTCTACCTGGTAACTTCACTGACATGTTTGTGAAAGCTCCACCACCCCATAGAACCATATGGAAGCTGAGAGAGAGGTGAAGTGTGGTTGAACAAAAATGTTCAGAAAAGGTAATTGCTGGCACCAGACCACCTGTATGGAGCTGCAGAATCCCCGAAGTGTTTTTCTCATCAGTGAGCAGAGCAGGATCCTTGGCTTCCTTTATTTTCAGCAGTGAGAAAGGATCCCCAGCAGTTTGTTTCATGGGCCCTTTTCTCTCTGTATTGGCTTTAAGGGAGCCTCAAGCTACTGGAATGGTTGGAGGGGGGTCTGAATGTATGGGTTTTTCCACTTCATGTTTCTTTGTTGTCCTCTGGAGATAATTTGGTTTTCACACACTGTCTGCACAAGGAAATCGGGCTCCTAGCTGGCTGTGCATAATCTCACTTGGATGAGAAATGTAAATGACACGGATGGTTCCCTAAAGCACGTGTCAAGCATCTCTGTTAAATATTGATTTTGTGCTTTAGGTGTTTGGCTGGTCTTTCAGTGGTACCCTTGCTTTCAAAGGCATCTGCTGTACAATAGGTGCAGTATAGTCTCAGTACAATCACCTCGTCCATTGAATTGTGTTCAAATGAACACTGAAACACCACCTTACTGCAGATGTTCACTATGTCAATCAGGGCTTTGTTTTATCAGTGTGTGCAAGCGCAGGGGATGCTAGCTCTGCACTAAACAAGTCATCAAGTGTTACCCATACTGCAGTCCCAGTGGTGTGTAATGCTGGCAGGGTCAGTTTCATTTCTTGCCTACCTAAAACAGCCTCCTAAAAAAAATTTCTACGTAGAAATGAAGTGAAAAGAAGACAAGAAAAGATTCCACCTAAGACTGTACATTGCTAAACAGCAACACAGAGGTCACCAAAAGCTCTCATGAAATATTTCAGGTGCATACTTTATTCTTTGCTGGTGATGTTCTATCTGACAGAAAATGTTCATTTTTCATTAACTTTATAGGCAGCAGTGGGATGGATCTCCACGGCTTTTTCCATAGCACAGCATGAGTGCACTATAACCAGAGTATAAGAGCAGTGTGTTTGGCTGTGTTCATTGCAATGAGCAGTGCTCCTCTGGCCATCTTCCAGGCAGCAATGCTGAGTTAAATAAGTTGTGTTTTCAATGTGTACAGTCACCCAGAGCAAATTTGCTGGGCCTTTCTGGTATAAATTTAACCTTCTTCTATCTGAAACAAAATAATTCCTTCAGTAAATAAATACCACCAGGCAGATTTATCAGCAGCAACCTTTCCTTTCCTGCAGCTTGCAGTGTCCTCCAGTGTTCTCTGTCTTGTGCAATCGAGGAAATGTTCTTAAACCATTCACATACAAGAACTGAAGAAGTGCCCCAGAGCTTTTCTGATAAGCTTCAGAATTCCGATAGTATTAATGTCTTAACTTTCCAAACTTGAAGAAATAACATAGATAAAATTACACACAGAACAAGCACACACGGACAAAAATGCTGCATTTCAGCCAAGAGGGAGCATTCCTTTGTGAGGTTATTTTTAACAAGATGCCATTAGATTTCCTTTTTTTTTGTAGCAACCTCCAACAAAGGCTAAAGTTAATATTGAGAAATATGATGCTGCCCACCAGCCACATTCAGTTCAGTAACTCCTGATGAAAAACAAAAGCACCCAAACTTTGCTTTGCTTTCCCATTCCCACCCTTGCTTTTCTGCAAGCCCACTGAAGCCAGCTTTTGGAAGCTCCAAAGTCAGCATTTCAGAGCTGAACTTGACTGTCCTTGCCTCAAGCAGGGTTAGAGCCAGTCACCCTTGTTAGCAATTATCTCATCAGTTCTACTTTTTTGTTACTTTTTACTTATAGAAACCTACATTTTTATCTTCCAAATCTCTGGCCATCTCTACTTTGGCATCTTTCTATCTGGCTTACAGCTCTCACAGTGCTTTAGCACTGCATTCCAGAGCTGAAGGTAGATTTTGTGTCTGATTTACCCACCTCTTGCCTCCTGTGCATGGTTGCTTTCCTACTCTCCTAATATCCTTTGGTTTCAGTAGAACAAGTCAAGATTTGTTTTTTGTTTCTCTCCTGATAGAATATGTTTTGCTGTTGATTTTGTCTTGTAACATAGCAGGGTACAAATGGCAGGGCAGAAGACCTGGTTCTTAACCTTATAATTGTTCCAAATGTGTTAACATTGTCTTCCTTTCCATAAATCCATTACAAACAAGCAGAGCAGTGCTGGGAGGCTCCTAGCATATGTAACAATTAGAGAGCTCTACACAGGAATCCCCTCTTGTACTCCATTGAATAAACAAACCCATCACCTAATTTGGCTGTCAGTTTGCTGCCTACATTGCAAAGTGGGAAGCTATAGCTTTTTTTTCCCCTTCAGCTCCTTCTTTCCTTTAGCTGCTTCCGATTGTCTTTCTCCATTAATTTTTATCTCTTTCCAGTGTAGGAAAACTAGCGGAGTTTGTCCAAATTTTTTTATCCTGTAGCTTTGTAAGAGTCAGCTCCTTTTTCACAACATCCTGAACTTGTGTGAGTCATAGAAAGCAATTATTTGTGTAGGTGTAACTTGGGTGTAATGCTCCCCTGGATCTCTGTAGAGATTGCAGAGAGAAAACTACCCCCAAATACTGTGTCATGAAAAATCTGCCATGTACTTCCTGAAGAACTGGTCAGGTGTTGCTTTAGTGTGGTCCTCTAACATTTTTGCTGCAGGGCTTAAACCTCTGAACAGGCATTTCTCTAATTCTCAGCAGTGTCCTCAGAGACACCAATGGCAGTGTTTCCTTTTCTTTCTCCCACCAGGAGGCACGTTGGGCTTGTTACTGTCACGTGTTTTGATGATGGGAAGGAAACTGCTGCTGGGAGCACCTGGAAAGGGTGTGGGGTGAAAGGTTGCTGTTGTATTTACCTTTGGATGGAGGGAGGGAAGGAGGGAAAGGGACTGCTCAGTATTTGTTTTTGATCTGGCAGCTAACAGGTTTCTGGTATGATTCCAGCTCTTTGGAAGTGTTGTCTCATGCAGTCGGACTCTCCCTGTTGGGCAACAGTTTTGTTGCTCCTCGGGAGCTTAACTGTCTTGGAACGGTGCAGCTGAAGCACAGAGTAACAACAGGGCAGGGGACTACAGAGCTGGCTCCTGTCTTGGGCCATTGAGTGGCAAGGTCTAATTGGAGCAGCTGGGAAGGGTTGGCACTGAGCTGGCCGTGCCTGGCTGCTGCAGTGTGCTAAGAGGTCTCCAGCTAACCAGAGCTGTGCTCAGCAACTTCAGTGCTGTGAAAGCCTGTTCTGCTCCGCCTGGGCATGACAGCTGGACCAGAGCCAGCTGAGTGGGAACGTTCTTCCCAACTACAGAGATGTGCAAGTCAACTAAAGGTCCCAGCAGCGCTTATCAGCTGGGGAGTGTGAGGGCAGAAGCCTTTTAGGAGAGGTCTTTCCTATGCAGGAGGAAAGTTGTCCATGTTCTCTTTGCTGTTGCACTGTGGTGGGTAGGTTGCTGTGCCAGTCTCAGTGCACACGGTGCCCAAGTTTTCCACAGTCAGACACAGTGATGCCAGATGCAGAGCACGTGGGTTCCTGCTGGTGGGGGCAGACTGTGGGGATTGAGCGTTCCTGAAGTGCAGTCCCAAGAGAGGATGGATGTGGTAGTGACAGGGAACTGGGAGGAAGGAGATCTCAGTGACACCTTTACTTTCTGCTTCAGCAGAAACGCCTTTATCTTGAAGTGAAATCCTCCTTCCTCCACCCTTCCAGTGAGGTCATTCAGTGAGGAATGTGCTTATGAGTTTTGGGAGAGAGAAAAACACCCCCTCCCACACCTTCAGAGCCTACGCTGCCCTAAGACTTAATAGCATGTTACCTGCTGGTATCATGGTAATTTCACGAGAGGTTAAACAGTATCATCTGTTACCAGCTGCCCTCCCCACACCAGTCTGGGTCTGCTATCAGCTCCTGAGAAGACCAGCTTCAGGGTCTGCAAGGACTGCAGAGATGGACATTCCCCAAACATGGTCCTGCCCATTCAACCTCTGGTGCAATCTTTGAGCAAGTATTGGGGAGCAAGCTGGCATACAATCAAGCTTTGCCTTCTGATAACATTTTGCTAAAACATCCCACATCTGATCAGGTCTAGAACTCCCAGTCTGAGGCTGGAAATACCAATTTTTAGGCAGATTTGCTGGTGGGTGAAGAGAAGAAGGAGGCTGAGACATGCATTTTGGTTGAACAGCGG